ACGAGTAGCTCGTAGGGAATAGCGAGTAGCGAGTAGTGAGTAGTGAGCAGTGAGTACTGTGTAAGGAGTGGGGAGTAGCGAGTAGCGAGGAGCTGATAGTGAGTAGTGAGTTGTGGGCAGTGAATAGTGAGTAGTGAATTGTGAGTACTCAGTGGTGGATAGTGGGTCGTGAGTAGTGATTAATGAGTAGTGAGTAGTGGGTAGTGAGTAGTGCTGAGTGAGTAGTGCGTATCGAGTGCGTAGTGAATAGTGAGTTTGGAGTAGTGGGTAGTGAGTAGGGAGTAGTGAGTAGGGGGTAGCGGGTAAGTGAGTAGTGGGTAGAGAGTAGTTGGTCGTGACAAGTGAGTAGCGAGAAGTGAGTAGTGAGTAGCGAGTAGTGAGTAGTGGGTAGTGAGTAGTGAATAGTGAATACTGAGTACTGTTTGGGGCTTTGGGTGGGGGGGTGTTCTCCGACGGCGGACCGGGAAAGGGGGGGAGGGGGGGGGTGACGACGGACCAGGAAAGGGGGGTGGGGGCCCGACGACGGATCGGGGAAAGGGGGGGGGTCCCCCCCCCCCCCTTGGGAAGATCCAGCCGCGCGCCCTCCATCAGATCGATCCCTGCACGCGCGAGCGGGGCGACTGCCGCCTCGAGCGCCGCGTCGCTGACCACCGCGGCGGGCACCAAATGGGCATCATTGAGCAGCCCGACCCGCGCGGCCACGCGCGGGGCGACTGTCGCCTCGAGCACTGCGCTGCGCACCGCCAAGAGTACTGCCGTCGTAGCGCCACGCCTCGCGAGGGCTGTCGGGCGCCCCTGTTGGCCCGCTTGGTCTGGGCGACCCCCTTGGTTCTGCCGGCCCCCGCGCCCCGCGCGAGCCCGCGGCGGGGCGAGCGCTGCCTCGAGTGCCGCGCCGCCGGGCAACGCGGCGGGCACCAGCAGGGCATCGTCGCGCAGCGCATCGGCGTGCACCTGCCCCCTGACGGGCGCCAGCTGGGCGAGCGCCACCTCGTTCGCCGCGCCGACGAGCCGCGCGAGGGCACCCGCCATCTCGACGCTGAGCAACGCGTCGGACTGCGGCAGCACGACCCTGACGCCCACGCGCGAGACGAGCACTGTCTCAAGCACCGCGTCGCTGCGCACCGCCACTGGCACCAGCAGCGCCACGTTGAGCAGCGCGCTGGGGAGCGCCAGCTCCGCCCCGACGCCCGCGAGCGGGACGAGCCCTGTCTCGAGCACCGTGCGGCTGAGCACCTCGATGGGCAATCACATCCCAGCATGGAGTGGCATGCCGGAGAGCGTCAGCTCGACTCTGATGCTCACGAGTGGGGCGCGTTCGACCGTTAGGATGGCGTCGCTGACCACCGCGACGCGTGCCAGCAGCGCCTCGTGGAGCAGCGCGTCCAAGGGCAGCAGCTCGACCCTGGCGACCGCGAGTGGGGTGAGTACCCCCCCGAGTGCTCGCATCTCGACGCTGAGCAGCACGTCGCTGACCGCCGCGGCGGGGGGCCACCAGCGCATCGCTGAACAGCGCGGCCGGGAGTGCCTGCGCTCTGCTAAGCACCGGATCGATCGGCATTGCCGCGAGCATCGCGCTGCGAAGCTGCACGGCGGGCACTGGCACCTCGACGGCGCGCACCGCGTCGAGAAGCCTCAGTTCGACCCCCGAGCGCAAGAGTGAGGCGAACATTGCGTCGGGTGCCACGTAAAAAACCACCGCGGCGGGAACCGCCCGCGCATCGGTGAGCGACTGCGAGCAACAGCTCGACCCTGGCGACCAGGAGTGCGACGACCATCGCCTCGAGTTCTGGCCCGAGTCCTCCTAGGTCCATGGCCCAGTGTTTCCGCGATCCGCATTGGCCCACCTTGGTGTGGGATGCGTGACCGGTCTTTTTCCACGAGCCGCATTGGCCCACTGGTGGTGGGCTGCGAGCTTCTCCCAACTTCCATGCGCCGCACTGGCCCGCTGGGAGTGGGGTGCGAGACCCAGCCAACCCTACCGCTTAGACGGGGAGCGCCAGCTCGACCCTGACGCGCATAGAGCACAGGCCGCCTGAACCGCCCTTCATCAGGCCCGATCGCCGGCTCTCTCTGGGGCATCTCCCCAGGCGAGCGACCAGCAGGCGGGTCTAGACCAGAAGCACACAGCGCTACCCTCTTCCTTGAGGCCTTGCGCGACGTGTTTGAGGAGGGAACAAAACACACAGACACCATTCATCGTCGATTTCCAGAAGATATGGGAAGTGGGGGGGAAGACAAAAACCCAGACAATCTGGAAAGATGCGGGGAATCCTGGGATTTGCGTGTATATACTTGTGTGTCCTTGGGCCCCTTCAGTGTTGGCCATTTCCCCGTAATTCTCGGTCTTCGTGGGCCGCGGCTGGGGATGCCCCGAAGGCGGCGCCGCACAGATCCCCAGGGCGCCGAGGCGCGCATGCCGGAGCGCGCGAAGAGCCGGTGCCTCTCGCAGGCACAGGTGCGCAGGCGGCTGGAGTGGCCTGATCGCAGCAGGGCCTGCTCCGTGTCCCAGTCGGGGCCCAAGCGGACCACGCCAGAGGGGGAGGCAATCCACACTCTCCTCCCATCTCCTCGCCCTCCCCCCCTTCGCCGCTCCCTCTCTATCTCCCCCTCCTGTTCTCGTGCTTGTGCTCTCTCTCTCTCTCTCTTTCTGTCTCTCTTTCTCTCTATACCTCCCTCTCTCTCTCTCGCTCTCTCTCTCTCTCTCTCTCTTCACATCCCCGTCCCACTCTGCCTTCCCTCCCCCTTCCTCTTGGCCATCCCCCTTACAGCTTTCCTTCCGCATCCTTCACTTTCCATCCCTCCTGTCCCCGCTCCGCCAGCCCCCCCTCCAGCCTCCCCCCCCCCTCTGCCGGCCTCCAAACGTCCTCTTCAGTCCTCTTTCCTGTTGCTTCGGTCGGGATCTTTGGCGTAGCGTGTCGTTCCGCCGATCCTGGCCCACCACGCTTCGGCGCACGCTGTCCACTTTCCGATCCCCAGGCGTCTACGTCCCGAGCTTTTCCCAGCCTCCCGCCCCACGAATCCGAGCCATTCGCTATCCGCTCCCAAGGCATAGCGTATCGCTGGGGCAGCCGCCGCGACACGCTAAATACAAATTCCTGAACGTAAGTCCTCCCTGATCCTCCCTGTCGCACCACCAGACCCCTTTTCACAATGGGGACCTCGCCCCTGATATAAGGACGGAATACAACGTCTTTTCGAAATGGAGTTCTCGTGTCAGCGCCGCCCACATTCGTCTTTCACTCTAACAACATGCGTTAGGATTGAGGGTGTGCCCTTTTCAACATGTGGTCCTCGTTTTAGCACCGTATGCATTCACCGTAAGAGCTTACAGCAGCTACAGGGATCGAGTATGGTGTCTGCTCAGCATGGGGCTATCGCCAGCGCCGCGCACATGTGCTTTAAATATGAAAGCATAGGAACGGAGGACGGTTTCTTTCCAACATGATGCCTCGCGCTGGAGATGTTGTAAACGTAGCGACCAGACGCCTGAACAGATGGAGCAGCTGCACAGGGGGGGGGGCTTTTCAAAGTGGGGCTCTCGCTTGAGACCCCTCCAATTGAATTGCAAGAAGTTTGGTGGAGGGCGGTTCATGCGAGAAAGGGATCTATCGGAAGGGGCTTCTTGCAAATCGATATCCGAAGTGTAAGATTGTGCAACGGTTTCGCGGATGTGGTGGCAGTTCATTCTTCAACACGGGGCTCTCATTTGACATGAACTGTTGCTTATATACTTACGGTCGGGGATTTTTGGGTAGCGTGTCGCTCCGCTGGTCCGCTGGTTCTGGCCCACCGCGCCCTGGTGCGAGACGCTATCCACTTCGCGGTCCCGAGGCGTCCATGTGCCGATCTTGTCCGAGCTTCCCGTCCCGCGGGGCGGAGCGACACGTCATCCACTCTCAAGACATAGCGTGTCCCCAGGGCCGCCGACACGGCACGCTATCCAAGAGTTCCTAGCCATATATAAGTTCGCGTTTTTTTTTAAATTCGCTAGAAGGATGCAAGGCAGTTCCTTCTCAACACGGGGGTCTCGCTTGAATGTTAGGCTCATGGTGTGCTCGCCTGCCAAGGGTGCGCTGCTTGCACTACAAAGGAAGGCATGTGTGGATGCATCAGGAGGAAACTTTGGGCGGGAGGGTGCATTTCAGCACCGCTGACGCATCCTGGGTTTACGCTAGCTCTCGTCCCTCCCCGTTTTCTCCCCGTCCTTCTTGTTCTCCTCTTTCTCCCCCCCGCATCCCGCCTCCCTCATCCGCTTTCCTCTCTTCTCCTTCCTTTCCCCCCCCTGTCCCCCTCGTTATCATCCTTACCATCACCATCAGCATCAGCATCAGCATCATCATCATCATCATCATCATCATCATCATCAACCTCATCATCATCAGCATCATCATCATCATCATCGTCATCGTCATCATCATCGTCATCGTCATCGTCATCGTCATCAGCATCATCATATTGTCATCACCATCATATTCCTCATCATCGGCATCATCATAAACAGCAACAGGAACATCATCATCAGATTCAGCCTCATACTCATCATCATCGTCTTCAGCTTATCTGCCATCATGCTGGACCGGTGTCATTCATCGGCTGTTCAATCACTCCGTCTGCGGCCCGCTGGGTCTGAAAAATCAGCAATCTCGTATTCACAGTCATCCTTACCATCATCATCATGTTTATCAACATCAACATCAGTATCAACAACAGCAGCTTCATCATCATCATCATCATCATCATCATCATCATCATCATCATCATCATCATCATCATCATCATCATCGTCAACATCACCATCACCGCCATCACCACCACCATCATCACCATCATCACCATCATCACCATCATCACCATCACCATCACCATCACCATCACCATCACCATCACCATCACCATCACCATCACCATCATCAGCACCATCATCATCATCACCTCCATCTTTATATTCCTTCGTCTCCTCATCCTCCCCCCTCCTCTTGGCCCCCTGGTTGGTGCGGCAGGAGTGCGAGGGACACATGGGCAGCGTCAACAAGGTGCGGTGGAGCCCCGATCAGAAGCAGATTGTCACCGCCGGCAAGGACCGGGTGGATCCTCGATCGGCTTCTTCCTTCTTCTGCTCCCTTTCGCCACGTGACCACAGGCGGAAGCGCCCAAACCCAGGCTGGTGTGGGCCGCCGCAGGGGCTCGGGGGGGGGGGCCTGGCCCGCCGCCTGACTTGTTTGCATGGTCGAGCGGCGGTTTTTCGGGCTTCGCAGGGGGAAGCGAGATGCGGCGCGGCGTTTGCCTTGCCATGCCGCCCGGTGGTGGCCAGGGCCCCCCTGCGGCGGGCTGCCCGTTCCCTCCTCCTCCTCGCCCATCGTCCTCCTGCCATCACTACCACTGCGATCACCACTGACCTCATTACAACTAGTCTTGCCTTTGCCACTGCTACGAGCACGGAAGCGAGTCGCGCTACAAACCGTATTTCTCACACGACTCATGGAGGCAGGCGATTTATAAAGTGCTCCCCCCCCACGGGAGGCGCCTCCCTATTGTAGGGCAGATTCTAAAATCTGGCGGGCGGAGGCAGAACTGCGGCCTACGCAGCAGCACCCCCGCCTCTCATATGCCGTCCGCAAAAGGCAGTCGTCGTCATCGTCGTCCGTCGTCGTCGTCGCTATCGTCGTCGTCGGCGTCGTCGTCGTCGTCGTCGTCGTCGTCGTCGTCGTCGTCGTCAGCCGTCGTCGTCCCAGGACTGCAAGACGCCTGCGCAGCGCCCCCTCCCCCCCACCAATCTGCCATGGCCGTCGATGTCGTCGTCGTCCATCGTCGTCGTCGTCGCCGTCGTCGTCGTTGTCGTCGTCGCCCCCCGAGACCGCAAGCCGCATACGCACCACCCCACCCCCTTTCGTGTGCCATCCGCAAAGGGCCGTCGTCGTCATTGTCGTACGTCTACGTCGTCGTCGTCGTCGTCGTCGTCGTCGTCGTCGTCGTCGTCGTTGTCGCCCTCCCGGATGAAGGCGCCTGCGCAGCCGCCCCCCCGTCCCCCCTTTTGTCCCCCCCCCGCCCTCCCCTGCATGCCATCCGCAAAGGGCTGTCGTCGATGCCCCCCCGGGCCTGCAAGCTGCCTCCGCAGAAGCACCCCCCATCTCACATGCCATCTGCAAAGGGCCGTCGTCGTCGTTGTCGTCGTCCGTCGTCGTCGTCGTCGTCGTCGTCGTCGTCGTCGTTTGTCGTCGTCTGTCGTCGTCGTCGTGGTCGTCGTCGTCCATCGTCGCCCCACGACTAAAGGACACCGGCGCAGCGCCCCGCCCCTCCATCCCCCATATATGCCATCCGCAAGGGGCAGTCGTCGTCGTCGTCGCCCCCAAAGACTGCAAGCCGCCTGCGCAGAAGCACCCCCCATCTCACATGTCATCTGCAAAAGGCCGTCGTCGTCGTAGTCGTCCGTCGTCGTCGTCGTAGTCGTCGTCGTCGTCGCCGTCGTCGTCGTCGTCGTCGTCGTCGTCGTCTGTCGCCGTCGTCTGTCATCGTCGTGGTCGCCGTCGTCCATCGTCGCCCCAGGACTGCACGACGCCCGCGCAGCGCCCCGCAAACACACACCCATAGATCTGCCATCCGCAAGGGGCAGTCCTCGTCGTCGTCGTCATCGTCGTCGCCCCCAAAGGCTGCAAGATTCCTGCGCAGCAGCACCCACGCCCTCTCTCACATGCTATCCGCAGAGGGCCGTCTTCGTCCGCGTCGTCGTAGTCGTCGTCCGTCGTCGTCGTCCGTCGTCGTCGTCGTCGTCGTCATCCGTCGTCGTCGTCGTCGTCGTCGTCGTCGTCGTCGTCGTCGTCGTCTGTCGTCGTCATCCGTCGTCGTCATCGTCGTCGTCGTTGGTCGTCGTCGTCGTCGTCGTCGTTGCCGTCGTCGTCGTTGGTCGACGTCTTCGTCGTCGTCCGTCGTCGTCGCCGTCGTGGTCGTCGTCGTCGTTGGTCGTCGTCGTCGTCGTCATCGTCGTTGCCGTCGTCGTCGTCGTCGACGTCGTCGTCGTCGTCCCTCGGGACCGCAAGCCGCCTACGCTCCAGCATCCCCCCTCTCATATGCCACCCGCAAGGAACAGTCGTCGTCACTGCTGGCCGTCGTCGACGTCGACGTTGTCGTCGTGTGCTGGCTGCTGTGCGCGCGAGCATGCGCGGGCTAGCCTGGCCGCAAAGATGCGCCAGCCAACACCAAACACTCGCCGCAATCGCCACCGCATGCATTTTGCAGGCCAAGTTGTGGGCGGGTGTGTGTGTGATGATTGCGCGAGCAGTTGAGCCGTCAGAATTTACTGCGCAACGAGCGCACAACGTAGATTTTTATTCTCTCGCAGGGAATTCGGATCTATCCCCCCCCGAGATTTTCGCACCACTGGGGATGCGCAAGTTACATAAGTTTCTGCCCCATTGTTCACTCGAAATCTGGATTCGTACCGTCCCAGCCCAGCTGGTATTCTCCCCCCTTCATCCATCGGAAAATACTATGCGCGCGCAGTCGTTGATCAAAAACCATTCATGCTCAAGATCTTCTTGTAAACAGATGTGACGAAGTGAGCGCTCCCGCGTCGTCGCGCGCGCACGCTGGTATCCACCACCAACCGTCGTGTGCGTAAGGATTGCAAAACCAACTGATCCGAAAACATATAAACACACACGCGGGTTGGCAACATGACTTTTCAACATAGGTCTGCGCGCGCGCCCTTGTACACTTTTTCAGAAAAGCCTTGGTCGTTTCAACAGTTCCAACAAGTGCGACCAAACGGGCCTTTCGCGCGCGCATGTCGAAGTCACTCGAACGCCTTCGCGCGCGTGTTGGGGGGGCACGATCCTTGTCAAATAACACCATGCGGGCCACTCGCGCCCGTCGGCCGCGCGCGCATGTCGGAATCTTCTTAAAACCTGCATTGCCGACGCGCGGATACCGTCATCGTGGCCGGTGTGATCAGCATCGGCGCCGTCATTGGCCTTGCCGTCGTCATCGTCATTCTCGCCACCATTATCATCGTGTCTTCATGCCATGATACCGCGTTCGCCGAAGTCACCGATTCGCATTGAAGTACCCGAGCGTCAGCGCGGCATGCTGGACGCGATGGGAAGTGCCCAGCTGTCAGCACCACCGCGCCACCGCGGCCGCGTCGGTCGCGCCAAACTAGCTGGCCGCTGCGCGCGCGCGAACCTGCGCGCTTGCGCGGCCGCAGCGACGCACCAACCAGCACCAAGCACTCATCGCAATCGCCGCCGCATGGGTTTTGCAAATCACATTGCGGGCGGGTGGGTGGGATGATTGCGCGAGCAGTGGAGCTGACAACCCCAAGGTTTTCAAAGGTAAATGGACCACGTAGATTGTATCATTTATACTGCACATCGTAGCTTGCACAGGAAAGATGGAACCGCGCGGTTGCACCACATGGAATGCACCGCATATATTGCGCCGCAGAGATTCTCTGTCTCTCTCTCTCTCTTTCTCTCTCTTTCTTTCTCTCTCTCTCTCTCTTTTTCTTTCTCTCTCTCTCTCTCTCTCTCTCTCTCTCTTTTGAAGAGGAAAAAGAATCGACCACCCACCCGGAGGAGGGATGTCCGCCCGCCTGGGGATGTGCAATTCTAGCCGCTTCGCGTATCGCTGGATCTGGCACCAGGTTCCTGGTCAGTGAGTTCTCGTGGCCTTGCTGGTATCTCCGGTCCCTCGTGATGGCGCTCCTGGCTTCATCCTGGTATCGCTCCCGCGCCATTTTGGCTGCGCCCCAACTTCGGTTGGTTTATTGCATGTGTTCGCTCCTGGACCTCGTTCCTGGCAGCTGCAGCCCGCACCCATTCCCGTTTCCGGTGATCCGAGGTGCCGCGTGGGCCTCTGTCTGCTGGCGCGTTAGGCAATTAGGTTCGCGCGCGGCCCGCCCGTTCCGTACACGCCGCATGCGCTTCCGCTTGCGGCTGCGACAAAAAGTATCGCTGGATCTGGGCTTCCCACCGCACCCACCGTCCTCCGCACCATCTGGTGTTTGGCGATCCGGATTTTCCGTTGAGCGCCCTCACGTCCTGCCCTTCCTCGTGTCGAGGGTTGTCGTTCTGCGATGGCTCCTGGTTTTGTCCACGGCGTGCTGTTCTTCGCGACGGTCGTCCGCATCTGGATCGCGGGCTTCTTGGGTTACCCCCTGGTGCTGCACGTCGACCAGAAGTTCCTGCTAGTGCTGGCGCTCTTCTGAACGGCAGTGAGGTTCGCCTGTCATGCGTCTCCCATGCTCGTTCTGGTCCTTTGCTCGTCGCCTTTCTTCCCCTGCGTTAGTGTAGGCCGCTGCTAGTTTGCACCGCCCTCCGACGCCGCCCGACCTTTTTCCTCGCCGCGGTCGCGATCAAAAAAAGTATCCCCGCCAGCCCATCCAGAAACGATGTCCAGGCGAGTTGAGGTGATCAGGGCACTGCGGGAGTAACGAGGTGGACGGCCGAACCGTGCGAAGGAGGGAGGAGGAAAAGAGGAGGAAGAGGAAGAGGAGGAGGAGGAGGAGGAGGAGGAGGAGGAGGAGGAGGAGGAGGAGGGAGGAGGAGGATGAGGAGGGGGAGGGGGAGGGGGAGGGGGAGGGGAGAGGAGGAGGAGGAAGAGAAGGAGTAGGAAGAGGAAGGAGGAGCAGGAAGAGGAGGGCAAGCAAAAGGGCCAGAGGTCTTTTGGATGCCTCTCAGAGCCTCTTGCGATATCTTTTGGGCGTTTCTTCGAGGCCTTTTGGGACGTCTTGGGGGTTTGTCGGCGGTCCTGGGGGGCTCTTGGGCGTCTGGGTGCCTCGGGAGGGCCTCGGGGGGCCGCTTGGGGGCCTCTTGGGGGCCTCCTGGGGGCCTCTTGGGGTCATCTTGGGGCCTCGTGGGGCCTCCTCGCCGCCTCTTAGGGCCATCTTGGAGGAGATCGATCAAAGAAGGGGGGGGGCTTCAATTACCCCTCCCCCCCTCGGGAACCCCCAAAATCACCTCTTGGGCCCTCGTGGAGCGCTCTTGGGGCCGTTTTGGGGTTCTCTGGTGCCTGTTTGGGGGCCCTCATGGGTCCTCTTGGAGCTGCCTGGAGGCTTCGGAAGGCCATCGGAAGCGAAAAAGCG